TCAACTTTGTAATCATCACGATTTGTACAGATCGCTCTTTCCGTCAGACAAGATAGAACTTATATGTTTACTATTGGCACCGCAGCAAATGTTGATGGCAAGTGTGGTATTCTTCGGAAAGAAAATACATTAGCTTCAATGTAAAATAACTCACAGTCGACCAAGTAGGCTAAATGACCATCGTTTGCTTTAGTTATTTTAAGAGGAACATCAATATGTAACAATATACGTCCACTTGATTACAAGCGTCGTTCCATCCGCTAAGGTTTATTAAAAACAAAGCCATCGGTGTATTGCAATAATATGAAAACCGTTATATTTGCTTTATGAAAGGCTAGAAATAAAGAAAGAAAAACTGGGTGTGCTACCTTGTTACATTTTGCCTACCATGTGCCAAGTATCATATCGATTGGACGGAGGCATTTTCTAAAGAATAAGCATCTGCGTAGATTCCGATTATGATATAATAAATTGTCCAATTGTTCAGTAAATCGACTGCGTTGCATATATGACCACGAGCACGTATAACGCTATGGTAATAAGATGCAAATTACTTATCTGAGGTTATCTGTTTGCGTTTATTCACGGAATGTCAAGCTATTTAACTCGATGGTGTCTACATGCCCGAGATTGCTGCAAGCAGGCATTGCATCACTATATCACCATTTAAACGACTTCATATCAGATCTTAAAGATTTCATTGATAGATTCATATTATGTGGCAAGCCAGCATTATGAGTTCGATGCCAAATCTGCATTTCATCAGCCAAAAGCCTAATGGATAGGGAAAGCTGAAAATAAGGTGAGCAAGAACATGCGAAAACACCGCCTCAAAGCGGCATTCATACATTATTTTGACATTCGCGGAAACAAAATAGATCTCTTTCCTATAACTGCAGGTGGAATGGTGGTGTTGATCACATAATCAATTTTTACATTAAAGAATACCCCACATTTTTGTTTTTAAATTCAGCGGCACTGGATTCACTATATACATGATCGACATAATTTCCATGCTGAGCCATTTAGCGGACAACATGAATACGCCGTTCACGCCCGTTGTTCCAAATTTGCAACAGTCCTTCAGCTATACAATGAGCTGAGAATAAGTATAAATAATAACGTTGTCATATGCGTAGAATGTAACTGAAAATGGACGCCAAGATTTGCAGAGTCATTTTTGTTCTACTCATTGTCGAATTTGCTGTTCTGCAGGCGGATATATTTTACAGTGACTGCTGTGAGTGCACCGGTGTAGCGCGCCCCTTTTTGTTGCATGTTTATTTATCACAGGCAAGTGATATGTTTTAACAATTTGTGAGTCTAAATTCATGAGTTTAATTCTATCATTAATTTAGTCTAACAAGTTATAAGATGCAGATCAGCCCATATAATCAACGAATAGATGATAAATAAATTGATTACAAATAAATTTGTGCCAAATTCCTAGACGGCTGCTAGTGAGGGATATCTATTAGTAAGCAATACGCAATTTTCTTACCATGAGAAATAAGCTGTATTTATTTTCTTTGACATGACTTTCATTTCTAAGCTTCAATTCCTTATCATAACACTGAACTGAAGCGAAACAATACCTTGACCTTATAACCAGTTTAAATTATGGCCATTCGGTAGATGATACAATCTGTTTTCACTGCTCAGAGTTCAATCTATATTGTGATTACCTTTGCTCATTTTACTTGTATAGGAAGAAGAGTTCAATCCGGGAAGTTGCGGGTTTGCGTAAAAGACTCACAATCAAAGAAATGTTTACGACAATTGCCCGGGACGGACAACATCTGTTCATACATAGAAGAAGGGTGTCCATTGAAAGAAGATGGTGTATACACATTTAAAACAACGATCTTGGTACGCGATTTTGAGGTATGTTGTTAATATTTTCAATGATTTCTATTTGCTTGTTCCTCGGGTGCTGAGGAGCCACAATTTTGTTTTACCTATTGTCATTAAATGCCCAGTAGTTTCAGTACAAATGTAAATAAACTACTTATTTCCAATTTTAGATTAAAGGCGAAGTAAGCTACAAGTTCTTCGACGCGGATTGCAACGTGATTGCATGCGTGCATTTCCCAGTTGAAATTCGATCAAAGAATACGAACATACCGCAAATTCTGTACACAGATGACAGCTATCCCTGCGGAGACAAAGCACAAAGCATCACTTTCTAATGTAGTTTGCTCCTTTGTGTTTGATTAAATTAAAACAAATTTAAAGCATCAAAAGCAATATTGTAACAAATACATTGAGAACAAATGTTTGCATCACCACTTTTGTGACAAAATGGATGGGCGCCGGTTGCATATTTGTGATGGGTACCAACGCTTTACGCCTGTCGGTATCAGAACTAAAAGTCCGTGTTGGTCGCTGTGAAAGACCTCATAATCAATGCCATGTCATGCCTAATAGATAATAATAATAATAAATAATATATAATCTTTAAAGGATTTTATACAGTGACTTCCAGATCAGTGCTTGCAAATAAGTTAATTGCGCACAACTTAAGTATTGAGCGTGTTTCTGCTCTGAACTTCGCGGTTCAGGGTTAGGTGGGATGTTTCTGGTATTTTGCCGAGAGTCAATCGGATATTATTTGTATGCAATGAAACTTAATGTACTTACTAATAGAAATATCCGGTGAACAGTCAAAGGAGACAGGATCAACATTTATTAATATGAGCTGCAATAAATGGTGCTCAGATATGTATACGGGGTTTCCATCGGCCGATTATGGAACTGAGTATATATTTGTTCAAATTTTGGACAATGTGTGGCTGAAAGAAAGTTTGATATTTTGCGTCCAAATTGCTGAAGACCTAACTTCCTGACATTTCTTAGTGTCGTCTCTCCCTATGCTAGGCGATTGTGATGATTTCCATAGAGATAATTTTTGTTGAGACGCATTCAGCATACTACTTTAAGGTAGTAAATGGAGTGGGCACAAGCACCAAGGAAAAGGGGTTTAGAGACCACGCTGGGTCGGAACTCGTTGCTTAGTAATTATCCGGGGAAATTTGATCCGATCCAATGTATGCTATGGTTAGGCAGTCGGCAAGAGCTTGTCGGAACGCAAAAGCTTGCGAAAGTTTGAAAGAAGGACATGAAATTTTGCCCTGCAGAAATCACTTACTGCAATACTTTCCAGACTACGGTCAGAACGGTTCTCTTGCCATAGGGAAAGCCCGGGGCCTTCGTTGGAAGAACGTAGCCGAGCGCTTGCAGACAAGCACTTTATCGCTATCAACTGTAGATGGAGGAATGGGGCTCGCTTAGAGCTAGTTTGGTGAGGTCTGAACATGCGGGAACTTGTACAAGAATACACCGCGGTTTATCGACTGAATCTGGTATCTAATACTCAGATATATTTGGGACGCTTCGTAATAGGTGGATTGACACCGTGTTAAACGCCTTATGAGTATAGTAAGCAGAAAATTGTGTAATGTTTACGTTTATGTCGGTTCCCATAACATTTGTCGGTGAATCACGGGATTACAGAAAATGTATGCTATTGAAACAGCGGACTTCGGTACATTTCAGGTCGAAGTGGAAATTTGACCGATCTATTACGTCTCTCAGTTGCATTGAGCTGCGGATAGGTGAACAAAAGACTAAACGCACTCTTCTGGCAGCAAAATAATTGAGCTGTCTACCAGCTTGGCAAGTGCTCTCTGCAGGTCTGCTTTGATGTTGCCGACAAAACTTAGGAAGACTAGCGACATATATTCGCTCCCGCCTGTGTCGGAATTTGTAGACAGAGAAGACTAAATCTGTCGATGGAAATCTTCCACTAGGCCATTAGCTGCAGGTTGATATGTGGTCATGTGGATGCGGTGAGAGCCAAAGCCTGTAGAACGTTCGGAAGTGCGAGGGATAGAGAGAAATTCTGCATGCAAATCTGATGAATATAGAGTATCGTTTGTGAGACACCCAACAGTACAGTGAGGTATGTGTGAGAATGTATGTCGCTCAGTTTTGCAGGCAAATCATCACCTCCAACTACCTAGTGAGGCGGTCGATACATATCAGTTTGTGTACGATTTCGCGAGAAAGTGTTAAGTTTCATACCAAGTATAAATATACGTGTGAGACCTGAGGATCTAGGTCAGGGAATGAGCCGAGATGACTGATGGTGTGTTGATGTAACTTGTAGCGCTGGCAGTGAAGGCATGTTCGAGTTCAGTTACGACGACTGTTTTAAGGCTTAGCCAAACCAATCTTTCGGTGGTCAAGTTCAAATATGCACCAACACCAAGATGAGAGAGTGAATGAATGCTGTTGATTACTGTGCGTCTGAAAGAGGCGGGCACCAGTGATTAAGGCAACACCTGTAAGTGTCACAGGGAATGGATTCGTCCGTGAGTTAGAGATGAACTGGTTTCAAATGCATTGGATAGACTTCAGTATGTGTTATAGGTCGTTGTCTTTTGTTTGTGTCGATGTTTCTGTGTAAATATTTTCAGGTCGCTGCTACATTTTCAAATCGCTTATAATTTTGCAGCTGAAAAGCTTAGTTACCCTTTTGGAACGCTTCGAAGGTTACCCGTTTTCGGACAATCTGTGTCGGACCTTATCCAGAATGCGCTAATCATCTACTTCTGTCTTGCCGTGATGACTAAGTAGTTAAGGTACGCACAGATAATCGGTATATCACGTACGACATTGTCGATTATCCTTTGGAAAATCCTGGGGACAGATTTAATTCCAAATGGGAGTCCAATGTATTCAAATATACCCAAATATGTGGTAATCGTAGTAAACGGGCGAGAATCGTCGTCCACTTCCACCTGCGAATAAGCGTGACTTCACTCAAGTCTAGTGAACTTGACACCACCAGATAAAGTGGCATATATATCCAATTTTCGGTAAGAGATAACGGTCTATGATGGTGCAGTGATTCATTGTCAGTTGGCAATCACCGCAAGTCCGCACACTGCCGTCTGGCTTAAGCACAGGGACTCTCGGTGCTGCCCATTCTGAGTGTTGAACCGGTACGATTGTACCTTCGTGCTGGAGCCGTTTAAATTCTTCCTCAACCTTTGGTCGTATAGAATAAGGTATTGTTCTAACTTTAACATTTTCCGGCGTACTAGCATCCGCCATTTGGATTTTGGCTTTAAAATCGTTAAGCATCCTCAACTGGTGTTCGTTAAATACTTCTGGGTATCGCTTTGGGACCGAGCCTATGGTTTCCACCTCCACGGACTTGATTATATTCAGCACCTTCGTTTACTGTTTTATGCAATCATTTCCCAGTAGACTGGCCGATGCACGAGGAACAATATGAAGCATTAGGTTATGCGATCTCCCCTGTCGTTGTACTAGCACATGACATTTTCCAAGCAGGTCTATTACCTCCTCCGTATAAGTTTTGAAAACTGTTTTACTGGGTTCCAAATTACATAATGGTGAAAGTGCATGATGGTCTATTATTGTCACTGCTCAGCCGGTGTCTAATTCAAATAAAACAGACTGACCATTAACAACAAATGTGATCATATGCTGAGGTACTCTGTTGATCTTTGAACAGTTTGCAAATATATGGCTCATAAAGTTTAACGGTTCATCACATGACTCACCATCCTTTTCGTTCAACAATTTCATGTAAACTTGTGATGGTAGGAAACGGTACACATGAGCCAAATGGCAAACTTTACCGCATCTCCTGCACTTCGTGCGCAAGTGAGGGCACTGCTTGGGGGAAAACAAATAGGACGAAAACGAAGCAATGCGAAACAGAGACCAATCAGCGAATGCACTATAGTCATGCGATTGGGCGCGGGTAGTTAGTGGGTGTGGCAGGACGCATGGTTAGTGGTTGTCCGTAACAGAGGTGTTTACGTATAGGGGATGTCAGCGGCCTGCGCGAGCACCGGGCTAGAGGTAGTTATAGATGTTGGACGATTTCGTACGAATCCCATTTGGGCACGCGTTCCTTAATTAACCCTTGATTGACTAATTGACAACTTGATGAAAACTTGACAAATGAGGGACAACTGACATATCATGGACCCACGTAAAGGCATGTATGTATTGTACACATTTATAGTAGCGGATTTCGATGAAGCTACATAAAGAGGCCTAGGAAAATGCGGCCTACCATAATAGAGTAAATTAGCTGCCAAGTTCTTGCAGGAATTTAAGTTATTGGATACAATTATGTTAACAGGTTCGGCCATGCAATGCCCCCACAACGATATGGATGCTTCACTGACCTGGAAATAGCACAAAAGTCCTTCATCAAAGGGCGTTGGAGAATCAGTGGTGGCCAGTAGGTCCAATACGTCAGGGGCACGCAGTGTTACAAGCCATGGTAAGACAATAAAATACGGAGGCATTCCTTTGACGAGTAGCAGCAAGTGTTGCCTTACCGTGAAGCGAATATGTAAGACTACATACCAGTGTTACACCAAGTATTTCACTGAAGTGCACGACACCACAACCTCATAATAAATGCAAAGTGGAGTGCCCTGTGTTCAGAGTCGCAGATACCTATTAATTTTAATCCGTAAACTAAGAATATCATTGTAAGCGAACCGACATTGATTCTACCAAAATGGTGTGTGGGAAATTGCACCATGTTGAAGCGTATTTTACCCAGCGCTTCTGACCCATCTCTAGTTTGCAAGTGTGTAAATAATTTGCATGCTTTTCCAATGAAAACCAATCACAAAGCGTCAAAGTCAATTCAAGGGCGTTCCATTCCCCTACTGTTGTGCATCACGACAAAGCCTTTGTGTTTAGGATGTCGAACGTAATGCAAGGAACTTGAAGCTACCACGAGAATTGGTCGCGCTTAAGAGGTGCTAATTGCCTGAAGTAATCCAAGCATACGCATGTACTTTCATTAGTTTGCATTTCTCTAAATCTCTGCCATTGAACATATTTAGTCAAATAATGTGAGAATATGAAACATTCCTAACACATTCGGATTATCTATGTTTGGAATCGCCTTCTCCCAACGTTGGTAAGTACACCACTTCTTCCTATCGTCTCGTCTCTGACAGGATAACACGACCCGTATAGTGCAGAAATTCAGAGGAAGAATTTTAACCGAATAACATAAAAGCATTGTATGAAACGAAAAGTTTATATGAATCGAGTTATCCTACTTTGTCTATTTTTATTTGCATTTTTATGCTGCTAGGTGATAGAACCCTGCCCGGATCACCCCACATTTCAGCTAATTTAGTTGTCCCGCCAAGAACCCCCAAAACCAGCAGGTTAGTCCTGGGATTCATTGTCTTTCCATGAAAACGCCCCAGTGCATACCGAAACAGAGGACCAACAGCTTCCCAATAAAGATGTTGCTTCTTGGTGCTCCCAACTAGCCTCTCCGCGTCGTTCCCAACACGCAGTGGATAAGGCATCGTGTACAAAGTAGCGTCACACACGCACAGAGCGTGTTAGAACCACTAGTTCACACTTGGATGATTGTCCTCAGAGTCAAGACTATGCTGATTATCTCGTCTTCTTCCGTCTTCTATAATGTCATCGTCTATACTTTGACTGGTAGTTGGGGAAGTTGGCAATGCTCCGACGCATTGCTGACAAGCACTTGCCCGCATACACCATACTTGCGGTAATGTCAAGGGGTTTTTATTAATTACGTCCGAAATAAGGAGCAGCTGCGCTCACTTGCTGACGTACCCCACAACGCTTAATTGTCGATTGTCCAATGGCACCAATTGCTTTGCCGAACCTGTCGGCAGAAATGAGATGGGACACAGACGCACGACATGTGTGTCTACGATCGCAGGGTACACCAAGGGAACTGAAGCCGTTCAGCTGTGAGAATTGAGTGTTGGCCAAACAGCGAAATCCTACTGGACGTGTCATGGTTCAATCGAATGGTGGTCAGCATTCACGCATGTTAAAAAGCCAGCAAAATCGATCCACACGAGTGGGTTAGTGGCTCACTGTTTGAGCAAGGGAACAGGAGTTTACACATGTGTCTTCGATGTATCCTCAACCACAGGCACGTAATGTGCCGTTCAGTCAGCGCATGCTCATGGCGCATCTGTATGGTAAGCGTGGATCTAACGCGACAGAAAACGCAAGGCACTAAAACACTATGCACTACGTTGTGTGCCCCATTAACGAACGGTAGTTGCGTCGAGAGGTGACGAAATCTGCAGAAACTGGCAGCGTTTGCAACATCAAACAAACCGGACCGCATCGCGCCGTCACGGATGAATTATCAGCTTGCGCGGTTGTACAAGCGGTATGTAATAAGTGTCATCTCAACATTCGGCAACTCGCACAACTTCGGGATACCATACCGCATGTTGCGCACCGGATATTGAACGAAAATAATTCCGACGGCACAGTGTACTGTAGGTGCAAGCGTTGAACACATGTGAATCACAGAAGCGCCTGGAAATCACGCGTTGGATAATAACAGCATAAGTGTACAGCATAAATGGGCATAAATGGACATAAGGAGAAGGCATTCCGGTGCTTCGCCTGCGACGTATTGTTTCATATTTTGTGTATTGGCTTATCCGTTGACGTGTTTCGAAAATCGCTCGACATCCTACATCGAGTTGTCAGAGCTATATGTTATAAATGTCACGGTTAATGACATCAGCATATACAGCGACCACTAAAGACTATGGTAAAACTTCCCTTCCAGACAGAAACAAATCGTTCACCATGTGGGGTCAAACGCCTTCTTGTACTTACCTCTGTTAACTCGTCTTCCCTTTTCACTCCGCAGTCTGCACCATCACCACCGTCTTCGACCCCGGCCGAGTATCAGGTTCAATGTTTCACACCGATTGAAGACTCAGATTTCGAACCTACGTAATGCCGGTCTACTGATCAATCAGTAAATTTCTCGGAGCCTGTCTCTGAACCTTTGAACACTGAGGATCCATGGACCACTCACAAGTGAAAGGCATCACATATGCGTTCAGACGTCCCACGCTGATAACCAACAAACCAAACGGCTAAGCGCCTCTAGCCCTGTTCCCGCTGGTTTTGCATCGCTTTCGCCGAGGCATCATTATCTCATACTTTTCCACGTAACAAAGTTGGAAAACATCCGATACGTTATGATCACGAGGTTGAGTTCCTTCAGGGGCTCATCTATAGACTCTTGGGTGTGAGTGAAGAAGGTGGAATGATTACACAAATACTCCGACTTGGCCAGAAAAGGAAACCAGTCATGTCGACCGCTGAGAATCACCTTTGCAAAGCACAATATGCCGCAGCTCATACGGTTTCGTCTGCCAAGGCTAAAAGGCATAAATGTGCAAAGCTGACGAGACTTGGAACCCAAGGAGCGGGATCGTTGGAAGACTGCGATGCTTGAGCTCAAATGCCGTACAAAAAAGCTAAGGTTGACTTACACACTGTAAATTTTTGGGTGAGCAGGAAGGGTGTAAGTACCCGTATCAACCGGTTGCTCAACCTTCAGGCTCGTCCGGCGGTACCTCCCAGCACCTCCGAGTGGCACCCGCCAACGGGTGCAGCCTAGTGAACAAACGTGGCGCACTGTGCCGCATTCCCGTCTCAGAGCAGTCGAACATATTTGGACTTTCAGAGCATGGCTGAACTCCGATATCATACCCCCAGAATTCGCGTTGTCAGGACTAGCTATTTCCCGATGCGACCGAAAAGCAATGGCTCACAATGATGTTCGGCTGTACAGCAACTCGTCATTATCTAGCAAGCCTATCAGGACCTATCGGAGTGAGGATAACTTATGCGAGCAATTGTGCCTTCAATCAACCCCAGGCTCGCATAACTAATAATGTCTGTTAGCTACCGTAGCCCATTAAACCGTTACTGCGATTGGCTACCACACAGATAGAAGCACATGAGCTGCCTTTAGCTCTTGCTGATGGGGAATCTAAATTTACCTGATATTCTGGCCAGACGTTCAGATTCTTCGCGGTCATGGCGATGTGGCGGCTCATTTTCCTAAACCGACCATTGAAATCAGGGCAACACAATATGTCAGCCAACCGCCAAGCATAACTCCGCACTCGGCATCTTTTCTGTTTACGAGCTGCGAGTAGAAGCTAAATGCGATCTGAGTCATCGAACCTCTGGCGAACAGTGACCACTGCTCCATTGTGTCATGCACCGAACTGCTGTTAACGTATTACTACCAACGGAAGCCGACAATCAACTATTGGAAGAGGACTTCAACTGGCTGGCCCAAGCCACAAGTAGGACTGATCAGACACTGCCACAGAATGCGTCGCTTAAGGTCTATTGACTATTAATGAGGCGGAAGTTTAACTGGATCTGTGCTCGGTTTGTTCCCCTGAACTATTCAAAAGTTGGGGCTGTCACACCGCAATGATGTGATGGGGAATATAGACAGTTAGCGCGACGGCGTCGCTAAGTTAGGGGTAGATACATCATCTCGGGTTTTGACGAAGATTAAACAGCGTACAAGAAACAGCGCAACTTAAATAACGCCGCAAAAACCAAGAAACGCTTGCAGTTCGAAGAGGAGCTAGCAGCCTCAGCCACAAATGCACTAACAAGAATATTTGCCTACTTGCAACGTCAACTGATATCTAGAGGCGACCTAGCGGTCTTACAGAGCTTGAACAGACTGACGTTCATTTCAAGCGCGGTGCGCGCGGATGCCTACGTTATGCACTACTTCACCGTATTTTCCAGTAAAGCGGCGGTTGTTGTAGTACCGGCACAGTTTGCCTCCATCTTGTTGGACAGCCTTCAATGTGACGCAGTCGTCGTGTATCATCTACATGTCAAACATGATTGTGCAAAGCCTCCGGACCAGACGGACTTCACACACTAATATAAATTCCCTTTTGAATGTCATCTAACCGGCCGCGAACAGCTATTAAATAACTCAGCGTGTGATCTATCTTCAACTATTGTAAAGCCTGGAGGGTGAGACCGCTTTACAAGGGTGGTGATCTAAGCAAATTGGAGAACTATAGAGCGATCTGTTTGAGTATGATATTCTCCAATATTTTCGAGAAGTTTGTGAAAGATAGCTGCTATTGTTCTGCGAAGCGATGGACTTATTGACGGCAGCACAACACAGCCTTATGAAAGTGCGCTCCTGCATCACCCACTAAATGTACGCAGAGCATCAGTGGGTACGCGCTCTCAACGAACGGAATGATGTTGACGTGGTGTACATTAACTTGAGTGAGGTGTTTAACCAGTAAACAACGACGTACTCCTTGGTAAATTGAGGACTTACGGAATCGGTAGCACGCTACTTCAGTGGTTAGACGAGTTTATTGTGGAACGAAATTTTAGAGTACATGTCGATGACTACCTGACAGACTAGTGCCCATTGACAAGTGGCGTGCCTCAACTAACTGTACCTCTGCATTTATTATGTGTTATTCATGTCAACGATCTACCGCACCAGTGCCAGTCCCCATTTGCCCTGTTGGCAGCTGATTTGAAACGCCGGAGGATCAGTTAGAAACAGGACCACTGCGTTCGCCTCTAGCATGACTTAGATGAACTGTCATCGTGGTCCACTAAAATGCAACTCTCTTAACGCAAGTAAGTCGAAGTTCATCAGTACCACCAGACGTCCAATCATTCGATCATACATCTTGGACGGCCAGTTGCTCCACCCCACTACGTCCGTCAGAAACTTAGGAGTGCTCTCGCAACATGATATGAGATCACAAGAAAATGCCGAGAAATTGTACTATGCGGGAATTCGTATGCCTTGGGCACTACGACGCTGTTTCTTCCCATAGTCCGAAGAAACCGTCCCTCGCCTATTCATCTCACTCACCAGACCGATCCTTGAATACGTCGCCTCAGCTTTGAATCCGATAACCCCGTAGGAAACTGAAAAGCTAAAGAAAATGCAGCGCATCGTCATTAGATTGATTTACAGTCTACGAAAGCTTTTGTATGTAACATGTTTTGAAAAGCTCGGACTCTACACACCATCTTAACGCCGAGTAAGAATCGACCTTATTATGACCCAACAAATACTATACCTGAATTCCTTTCCCCTACAGCGGCCAAAATTTCACCTACGGGACCCGGTAACACCCGAGGACGCAGTTTCAAAGTCAGGGTTCCCGGCATGCACCAGGTATCATATCGGCTCTGTATAGAACCTATGACCTTAAACATATGGAATACGCTACCAGAAAGACTATTCGAGTACTGTTTTGTGAAGCGTTTGAAACACGTATCGATGATTATTTCGGAGACATGCTTTTG